AATGGGCAAAGCTGCCAAGACCCATCTTTGAGAATTAGCAGAGTGGGTGCAGGCAAGTGGGTAGCACTACAGCACATAAAGAGAAGGCAGTGATGTGAGGGGCAGGGATAAGAAGAATAAAGTCCTCTTCCCTGTAGCTTCCCTGTAGCACATATGGGAYTGAGGCTTGTGAGACAGTTTATACTAGGAATACAGCACTGATCATCAGCGTGGGGATGGCCATCAGTGGTGGCCAGCGATAGGACAAGAGCTAACTGACAAAAACTAACACACAGAAAGCTCCACCTGAACATCAGGAAAACTTCCTTGCCTTTACAGGTGACAGAGCACAGGAACAGGTTGCCCAGAGAGGCTGGGGAGTCTCCTTCTTTGGAGATATTCACCACTCACCTTGGCATGGTCTTGTGCGATGCACTCCAGATGACTGTTTGTGCAGGGGGGTTGGACTACGTGATCTCCAAAGACCCCTTCCAATTGTAACCATTCTGTGATGATCTGCTATGCAGCTAGGAGAGTAGCTTACTCATATGGGTTCCCTGGCACATTAACTTCTTCAAACAAAAGCATATCTTCAAGAAAAAAAAAAGCCCTCCAACTTCAGACAGAATCACTATAATTGAAGCAGAAACAATGATCAGGTTTTATTATTTTTATCRCATTATTATCACCATTTTCTGTAAAATGTTAGTATAACCAGCTCCTCATGATCTAAAAATACAAACCCATGAAATCGGAAGGTAGGAAAATTGTAAAGCTCAAGACCTGCTGAATGACAAGACCAAACTTGACTCCATTTCACTTGCAGTTTTTGCTCCTTCCCTTAGGTTCCAGCCCTAACAGRATAGTTGTGCCTCTTTTTAAAGGGAAAGGAGGGCACAAATACCTCCGAAGAGATGAAAACCACCATCAGATATTGAGCGAGCAGGTATTTCTGGTGAAAATACTTTAAACCCYTCACAGCTCTGCCTCCTGATCTGTGCCTTTCCTGCATCAATAAAAAAACACATCATTGAATTTAGGTGCTCTCTGCTTRTCATGGGATCCGCAGCCCACCAATGAAACAGGAGTTGTAGTTTGAGGAGAGAAGTAAGAAAGAGAGTATTTCTGTAAGCTAAAGCTATCCAAAGTCATCCATCCAAAGCTATTAAAACACTGTAGATCTCCAAAGCAGCATTTTTGCCACAGATGTACAATAAATGTAAGCTGAGTAAAGACTATGTGAAAACACGATGTTAAAATTTAAACTCCAGTAAATGTTTTTACTCAACAAGAATTTAATTCAAGCGATACTACTCTAAGTTACAAGCTACTGCAAGCTTTGCAAAGAGCTTAACAACACAGTTCACGAGCATTTTCCTTTATAGGGCTGGATATATTTCTAAGTAGAAATACAAGAAAATTACTAACATTTTACTGCTACAGAGAACTAGAACCTGCTATCAATATGTAATAATGAAAATAATATCTGAAGCACAATACATTGAGCACCTGATGGCATGCACTGATATTTTTAGCAACATAAGTTAAGAATAAGTCACAAAAGCCAGAAGAAGTTATAGACATCATCTACAGGACTGTAAGTAAATGCTTCCAACTCTACTGTCTTCTTTATATACCACACATTACGGAAGATTACTTTTTAATAAGGACTAAGGGGCTGGGATTTTCCACTTGCAAAGTAATACGGTTTAAACAGCCTTTGGAAATAATCATCAGTGAAACGAAAACAGTTGAAAACCAGTTGAAAAAATGTAACTTCCTCAAGCTGAAAGCTACTCTGGTAATCACAATATTTTACCTATACTCATCCTGTCATGTCTCATTTATACTAATGCAGACATGTGGGAATGTGCTTCTTACCGACTCAAAGTATTTCTCCCCACCCTTCCAACCGAGGCTTTTGCCACGTCAAATAGGTGAATATTTTAATGTTATGGAGTTAAGTTTTATTAAATGTCAGGTTCCTCAGAACAGYAGAGGCATCTGTAAAAAAGGGTTCCACACATACGCTTGTCAAATGGTTGTCTCCTAATGCTTCTATTTATGCAATACAGTCCTATCAATCCTATTTTACACGGCATTTTACAGCACTAGCAAAAACACTTTCCAATAAAAACACTAATACTTACACTGGGCTTGTACAAATCAACAGTCAGTCTTATGTTTACCCAAATCTTTTTTTTTTTTTTTTTTTTTTTTTAAATTTGAACTAGTGGTATGTATTTTACCTGCATTTTAATTGTTCTTCCATTGCATACAGAATAAGAACTGCAGAAATTACTGGGGCATCTTCTTGCATTTGTGCTCTGCAGATGGTGGTCATGGTCCTTTTGGCCTTAAAATCTTTGCATCTGAGAGGAAAACAGAGGGAACATGGGAAGATTAAGATGCACCAAGCAGGATTTCAGCTGCACTGCTGCCCACATCCAGTTAAAAAACAAACAAACAAAACCTCAAGTCTGGTTCCAAGAATACAGAAAGAGTGCTTAAAAGCAGGGATTTTACATACAAATAAGTGGGGGCATGCTTGTTTATTCTACTTGCCTTGTGTCTTTTCATGCTTCACTTGCCACTCCTTTCTTCCATCAACATAGAGAAGAAAGTGGCTAAAAATACGACATATTTTCAAACGAAAGCTGTCAGTCCYGTGTAAAACTCCATTTTCTGAAGGCTTTTAATTAAGAAAACACTGTTGAACTATATGTGCTTATCCTATATGTTTTTAGAGAGGTCCTGCTGCACCCAAATCACATCAAAAATACCCCCAGCAAGAACGAAATAAATGCTAGCATTTCCGTGTGCTTGCTGGAGTGGGTTCAAGGATTGACTTCAACGTGGCTGTGTGAAGCATTCTCAGCCAAAATGTGAAGATTAAAAATACAAAGCACAAGGCAGAAACACCACCAGAGCACCCAGGAGAAACAGCAGGCCCTTGCACATGTCGTGTTGTCTAGTATTAATAACAATGAAATGGTTAAATGTTGCAGTACACAAAATATACACTGCAAAATGTCATTGCTCTCGCAGGGAAGCAAGGGACCAGCCTCGCCCCTCCACGAAAGAAAGGGGGGGAAAATCCAAAAAACAAAGAAAAAAATTAAGCTTTGAGATTTAGTTATAAAGTTTTATTTACTCCAGGCTTTCTGAGCAGGGCCTTGGTTATCATTTTTAAACGCTTCTAATTCTCAGTTTCAGGAACGACTGTTTCAGGAAGACATCCCATGGGAGTCAGAGACACGGCTTTCATGCAAGGAACAGAGCTAAAATGTTGGCTCTACTTCAGAGCAAAAAAACAAAAAATTAAGAAGGTTCTCAAAGGCAGCAAAGAACATCGCCACACACACCATTTAAAAATGAAAGGGGCAAAAAAAAAGCATCATCAGGCTATAGCATAAGGGATATCTGCTCACCGGCAAACACAGAAGTGCAAGGCAAGGCAGAAACACCAAGAGATTTAGTTTGCTATACCTGAGAGATCCAGAAGGGTGGCATATTCTGTGCTTTGTAGCATCCAGGCAGAAGCCTCCCTAACACTGTGGATAAGTGTCAGAACAAGGGACTTCCCTACCCATTTGGTGCCTTCATTGCCACCACTGAGGTGACACTTATTTTATTCTATTCTATTCTATTCTATTCTATTCTATTCTATTCTATTCTATTCTATTCTATTCTATTCTATTCTATTCTATTCTATTCTATTTTAAAGTAAAGCAAATAATAAACCCCTTCTTTCCTGGATCTTTTTTTTTTTACTTTTTTTAACTAGGAATTTAACAAAAGCATGCACCTGCCACCTCTTCAATTATCGTAAGCGGGGAACAGTAAGAAGAAACATTTTCAAGGCTTATTACACGTCAGCCTTATTACATATTCTCTTTACAGTGCCTAAAAGTTTCCCATTAAAGATATACAATTTTCACCTTCAGTAGCTGGTCTCTTTCCTGAAGGGAAAAACAACATTTCCTGAACATTTCCTGAAGGGAAAAACAAAGAATTAAGATAAGAGATATTAACACTTACCTAAGTATATTCAAATATACCGTAACGCCTATTAACACTCAAAAGTCAACAATAATGCACTTTTTTTTTGCAGCTTCCCCTTTTTTAAGRGGCACGGCAAGCAGGCAGAAAACCCCCAAACTTATTTTTGACAAAGGGACTACACATCTGAAAGATATTTCCAGGGATAATAATCAGTAAATACATACTTCTTATTGTCCTACAAGAAAATTTTAGGATATTTGGTTATAAATATCCTAAAATCAGAATTATCTCAGGCCAGCACATCTTCAGGGCTCCTGGGCATCTATCCATTTCTAAAGTGTTATTGATAGGGATGCTTAGAAGAAAGCAYGATACACTGCACATCGAAGGAGATACTGTACCAAAATTAAGAGCATTCACAAGCTCTTAACAGTCAGTGCATCATAGCCCAGAAATGAGTGAGATGGCACAAAGCTAGAAGACAACCAAAATATTTTAGTGTGTATATCASTTGTTTGAGGGCAGCTGGCCAAACTTCAACCAGTTTTACACCAGATTTTCCTCATTTCCCTCTCCAGGTCACAACATTTGTGCCTTTCCATTAGCCACATTTTTTATTTTTTATTCTTTTTTTTAATAGTGATTTGAATATTTTTTTTTTGCAATGCGATATAAGCCCTCATCATGCAAGCCCTTCAGCATAAAAATAATTTCACACMTTTGTTATTCTGCCAAACTCTCCTACACTGTTTTGATCCACAGACAGGCAACACATTTCCAGATGCACTGAAAAAATTACAGTCAAACTCCCTTTGTCTCACACCTTTAATTGGGGTCAGACTTTGGTGGAAAGGGCGAGTGGAGAAGCAGCTAAGCTTCCATCTATTTATCTAAATGTAGCATTCAAATCTCCTGAAGCACACAGCTTAAAAGAAAAAAAAATATTATTTCTTCTGCTAAGTAGCCCAAACATGCACCCTATTGAGCATGGACAACTCACGCAGAGGAATCACCTTTGCAATCTGACAATCAGGAAAACAAAGTATTTGCAGCGATGCCAACTGTCTCCTGGAATCAGGAGATTACAGGARATTCCAACTGGGGAATTAATAACGATCCATATTAATACAAGAGGAAAAAAATTCCGAAAGACTAAAAATGTGCAGAAGTGTCTAAGTGCACATGGGGAGGCCAGTACATAGAAGAGAAGGATTTGCTGGAAGCAGTTCTCTACTTTTCAGTGTCCCTTGTTCAGTTACTCAAGGGAAGTTGTTTTGCCTCAAACAAAAACCATTCATTCTGCCCACAGAAATCACTGCCTGAAACCGCAGGGACTGTAAAGGAAGMGCTCGGGAAGCTTGAGGGAAGATCCAGGGGTTCTTCTGAACACAGGGAAATACGATGCCTTGAAATCTGCTCAGAGATTTGCAGGAAGAGAGGAAGGTATTCCTATAGAAAAAAAATACATCATCAAATTCTGAAAAAAAAAAGGAAGATGCACAGAGCTCATTTGGTACCTTTCAATTTGAACTTTATGGCTGAGCTGTCAAAGGTAACACAGACAAAAAACAGAAAAGTAGTGTTTACATTGCTCTTAAGAAAATCACCTATTACATGGCAGCATAATTTTAAATGCCACATTGTGGAATGAAAAGCACAAGGAGCTTAACGGTATCAATATCTGGCAAAATACCTACCAAATAAGTTGTCCTTGCTTGATCAAAGCAAGTTTTTGGAAATCAGATGGTCTTCAGGGTATAGATGGATTTTGTGCTGTAGAAGAGACCTCAGATCTTGTCCAGAATGTACAGCTCCAGTAAGACACAGCCCTCTGGATTTAATGTGGATTTAATGTTAGGCAGTGGCTTAAGTTCACTGAGAAGTGCTGTCATTGCACTAAACCCAGAACATCCCATCTTCAAAACTTCCCTCCAAAGAGAAACCCAGAAAACCACAAAGTGATGAAGCTGTTTCGTTTTGACTGAATGCTAAGTTTGGCTCGGGTTTCAGAGTTCAAATACAATGGTCTAAAAATAGTCTTAAAGGAATTAAAGCACGGAACCTCATCAGCTGCTGCTCCTTAACCTGCCCAAAACTCAGTTGTCCAACACAGAGGTAACAAGCCTTCAGGAATGGCTGATGTTTGCACTATATTCTAGTTACAAAGCTCAATACTGAAGCCCAAAGTTGCACCCAAGGACTTCTTACACTTCTAGCACCCGACTGAATAGAACTATCTGCTGATAGTTCCGCCTTAGAAAGAATGAGATTTTACTGGCTTTACAAGCAAGATTCAGGCTCTCCCTACATTACAGCAACAGGGCTGCATTCAAAAGTTAATGTAAATTGTGGACATCAGGAGGGAAAAACAGTAGTTCAGAATATTTTACCACAAGTCTCTTATTTCCATACTGTTTTTCTAGGTTTCTCTTTTCTTATTAGCTTGTCCTCATCATGTTTCTAAAGGTGGTTCTTTGGTTATGAAGAAGGATTCCGTGAGTACTTTTGATTATTTAAACATCTAAAAGGTGGGGCACATAGATCTCATCTCACATCTTTGGGGTAGATACAGATATATAAACAGCTTGAAGGCACAAGGGGAAGACTTCCATCTTTTTATGCCGAAATGTTCTCCAGTGCTCATGTGCAGCAGCCCGCAAAGGGTAACTTGGCACCATTCTTTCTGTGTTAGTTTATTTCTACATTTAAAAGCCGATAAGATTATAAATTTGAAGAGAAGTGTCTTCTATTCCCTCCTACTGTGATAAATAGACAGTAGAGAAGCTTTATTAAAAAAAAAAAAAGGAAGTGACCTTCATCAAGAGAATTATGCTCCACAATCAGGTAGCAACAATCGGATATAAAGGGCCAAATTATGAAGGCAAATATAAGTTAATGCATATAAAAATCCTTGAGAACTTCAGGTATTGTGGGAGTCTTACTGTCATATGCATACACATAAAAATGTATAATCCAATCCTTCATACCCTGGAGAACTTACATTTCCCTTTCTATTCGGGAGGGACAACAAGTTACTTCTAAGAAGTTAGTTCTGCATTAACTGCTGGCTTCTAATCATCACGCTCAGAGACACCAGCAGCATATTGTACAAACGGTGTATTAACACATTAGGAATATCACTGCATTTGCATGAACRTTGTCACCGAGGTTTGATGGCTGTAATTGAGACATGCTTCCTCTGATTATATTTGAGCAAGATCTATGAATAAATAGCACAGCAAGAAATCTGCAACATCTGGGCGAGAYGGGCTCGGAGTCATTACGACAGCATTTACTTTATCAGAGTCACTGGAAAACACTTTTATCTCTGGTTACATGACAGGCAGCAAGAATTCAATCTGTCTGTGTCTGCAGCGTAGGTCGATTTCTTTCCCTTTAACAGCCTGCATAGTTAACAGCTGTTGGGCTTGAACTGCTTGAAACAGTTTTCCTCTATATTGGAACATTAAATCTTTTTTTTTTTTTTTTTTTTTTTCTGTCTCCATCGAGTTTAACCACTTGTTTCCCTTTTCATGAAGGGGAATGTTTCTAGGGAAGCTAAATTCTATCATACTGCTTTAAAACACCTGGTCTGCACACAGACACCTACAGACAGGTGACCTTCTAACATAATCGGGCTGTTATTGTTATGTTGTTGAAAGCAGTAATCAGAACAAGAAAAACTCAAATTCACATTTTAAGTGGACTGCCCTATCTTCCATGTTTCCTTAACAAACAAAATCCTCCATAGAYGGAAGCAAAACAAAAAAATACAGACCAACTTAAGTATCCTTAATTACTGATAGAGGAAAAAAAACAGTCCAGCATCATTATATGGCACTGATATATTATTCAACTGTTTGCAGATACATAACCTTTCTACTAGTGTTCTACTATCAGCATATTAAGTTGTCATGTTTAGCTGGTCATGTTTAGAAGTAAACTTCTTTTGCAATGAATGACCAGGAATAAAGTTACAACAGAGAGAGCTATCAAGCTTGAGGAGTACTTGCCTTTTATGTCCAGCATTGGCTCCATGCAGCCTTATATTTCTAGAAACAAAAATCAAACAATCAAGTACACTCAGGTGCTCTGGGAGGTAAACTCAGCATAAGAATCCTGCATTAGGGTTTTTGTCAATGTTTGGAGCACCTTACCACGAAGTGTCCAAAGGACTCAGTTTATACCATCACATAATCATGGGAACTAGAAACTCCCTAAACATCCATTGCTCTCATGAACACATCAACTTTTCACAGGTTCAAGTGCTAAGTTACAATTCCTGCTGCACCAACTGCATCAGTGCTCAAGCATTCAAATCAACAAACCTACCACTTAATGAATTTCTTGTTGAAAACCTGGGGGATGACATGGACAGGGGGCCACTTGCTGTTTTCTTGTTCCTGCCATTGCTATGGTTTTATATTATTATAAACAATATGCCATCTGTATTTAGCGGCAATATTTTTATTAATTATTGCTCAGGGATCTCATTTAATTCTGAAATAACAGATGTTGCTCCATTAAACCACAACATCTCTTTTCAGGGAATAAACAATGTTTACGAACCCTGAAACACTTGGGTTTTTTTGTGGACATTTATGCCTTTATGACTTCATTGGTACAGAAATAAGCCTTATATCAAGGCAATCTAATTAAGAAATATTACCGCATAATAAAATGTAGAGTTCATTTTTTTGTTCATGTTTCTTCAATGAAATTTAAGAATCCCATTACAGAAGTAGTATGATGGATTTTCTGACATGTAATTGGGTAGTTTTTAATTGTTATTATTTTTAGACCAGGAAAAGGCCCCTTAATTCAGAGGCATATTGCTTATATCTTCAAACATGTATTCAGATCTCAAACATTCATACAGCTAGTCTTGGTTGTCCTCTAAAAATAAAAAAGAATAAAAACCAGAAACACACAATGTAAGCAATTGCCACATACATCACATACTTCAGTCACTKGCTCAGTGCAAAAGCTGAGGAGTAAAAACAAAGATTGAAATTACAGAGAAATACACTGGCACAAACCATCACCACCTCCTCCACTGCCAGGACCTTGGCAAAGCTTCTGTTAAGTGTCAGAACTGACGTGCTAAGACAAAGCTCTCCAAAGCCTGAAAGAAAAACCCGCCTCATTTCAGATACACCCATAGATTCGCTTTTCTTTGCACCCTCACAGGGACTTAACAGCCTGCTCAGGTAATAGTGCACTTCTTTTCACTTTGTGCCCAGAATCCAGGGGGTAATGTCCACAGTTGCCATGAGCAGACGTGCAAGGACCACCCATCACAAATTCCACCTGCAGTCGAAGGGGGCTGCAAGGTGTCAAGCCTCTCAGATCAGACTCACACTATCCAATCTCTCCAGATCAGCAAAGACCTAGAGCTCCAACTTGGAAAACAGCCGATCCAGCTCATAACCATGGGATAAGGGCAGTACGAGTCCTCTACTGTCTCTCAGCAGAGGAAGCTTTTCAACTCTTCCCTTAGAGTGCCACCGAGGACAGAAGGGGCTCCCTTCAACACAACAGGAGCTGACAAAAAGCAGAGCCTTTGAACTCAGCCACACCAGCATTCACAAGAGCTCTATCCCTGCAAATAAACTACACGCAGGACTTCTTCCACAGCTTCTGGTGACCACTGTTCTAGGCCCAAAGGAACTGCCCCTTATACCAGCCACCTTTAAACAAGCTATGTCACCATTCTGCTCTGATAGAAGCAAAGGTAAGAAGTTGTTCAGGAAAAAACAGAAGGGGCAGGGGAAAGATACCATAGGGTGACTGAGGCCCCTACATATATGGAGAAGTTGAAGCATAACTCGTGCTAATCTGGAGTACTGCAGTCCACAAACATGTACCAGACCTGCATCCTCTGGTCATCGGTCACAGGGCAGCCGTATAATTTAGATGTATTGTTGTAATACTGTTGGCTTCCACAGAGCCCTGTACAACTGCACAAAAACAGCCAGAAACTAAAGGCAGTGACAATAACTAACGCTCAGGTCAAGTCAAGTCAATGCAGCCATGCAACATTTTCCCCAAGCCACTGATTTACTTATTCCACTGTAGACTGCTGTCCAATTTGCCTGGAACTATAGACAACCACAGATATGATGCTTTCTCACATGTGCAGTTTAAGCCTCCCAGAGTCCCAGCCAAACTGGGATTTGGATTAATAAAGCTTGGCAGACACCATGCGGAATGAGTAGAGATGGGAACCTCGGTTGTGTCCCCCATGGTTACACACGGGGCCAGTTGATTGTTTGCTGCTCCAGCACTTCCAAGTGCCTTGTGCGCACTTGACTGAAGATGTCTCTGAGCCAGCCTGTGCTTAAGAGATCATTTTATTGTGGCAACACCAGCACAGCATCCCAACAGACAGCACAGCACCTCAACAACAGAGAGCACAGCATCTTAATAGACTTCTCTGTCCTTTCGCATACCTCTTACCTCTGTCCATTATCCCTCTTTAGCACTGTCCTTCAAAACTGAAAGAAAGAAAAAAAAGAAGCCTACAAGGATTCTTTTTCTTGGACTTTCACAAGTAGGCTCTGCTAGGCTAGCGTGCACTGTAGAGAACTCCTCAAGCTCACTAGCACTTGGAAAGCAGGCGTTGATCCTTTGGGAGAGGTACAAGCATGAAACCAGCTAAAGCCTTATGAAGACTAATCTCTGCTTCCAAAGCAGCCTAGGCTGGTCTAGCCATCTGCTGCCTCGGTTCTGCTTTTCGTTCCACTTGTTTCCACTTGCTAGGCTGGCACAAAACAAGTTCCTGTATTGGTAGGGAAGGAAGTATTTTTCTCCTGGCACTGTGTAGCTGCCCTCCAGGCACTCTCCCTTGTGACTGGTGATGGTGGCCACAGATCCATTTTGCTGATGGATCCAAACTTATGTACCAACTCTGTGATAAGCCTCCGAGGCTAAACTCTCCAGTTTCTTGTACTGCAATCAATTCTCACATATTACTGCCTAAAATGTGTGATTTACTGGATCGATAACCTGGAGGCCATCCAGGTTAAAGGAAGTGTGCTAGTCCCTCTCCTTTCAGCACCCTGGTAAGTAAGAAACAAATTACAAAAGTCAACAGAAAGCTGCACAAGTCATTTGCATCACAATAACATGTTAAGTTTGACAGCAAAACAAATGCATGAAATACAGAGACCATATGTCACTGGTTGGGCTGATGGATTCTTTTTATTGATCTTTTTTAAACTAAATGGCCTGAGCTACAGAGGGACTGCTGTAAGCTTGGTTGTTCCAGACTTGAGCCCGCTCTCTAGTTTGCTTAGGTGTCACATGCAACAGCTCAGTCCTATGCTTTGTATACAAGCAGAACTTGGTCCTTTCCACAATTAACCCCTGCAATGTTTGACTGCAGAACTGCTTTAGATGGGCCTCACAATTAAACCCATGGAAACAGGTGAGCTGTTAACACAGATTGCTCTAATACTTTCAAATGTTTATGCAAAGTAATTGAAAAGTAATTTGGGCTTCCAAATGTTAAGACTCCTCATTCATTCCCTATTACCCTGTGTCACTTCCACGGTATCAAGCACCAGATCTGTTCAGCTGTCAGTTCTTTCTAACACAAATAGAGGAAGTTTAGTTTCAAACTTCCCCTTTAGTTTCCCCTTGAGAAAAGGGGGGAAAAAAAGAGTAGTAATGTTTTCTGACAGAAAGAAAACCCCATCACCGGGAAGTCAAAAGCTAGATTCATCACTGGAGTTTCTCGCAAAGTAAATCTGCCAGACAACATTGTTAAACATTTTTTTAAAATATATTGGAACCTTTTTCTGGATAATAGCAAGTTCTGTGATGAAAAGCAGCATTATGTTGAGACCTACATAATATTGTTAGTCCAACCCTGAGAAACTCTGGGAACCCCTCTAAAAAAATGCATTGTGCTACAAAAAAACAACCAAATCAAAAATTCTCCACAGCTAGCAATGAAAACATTAATCAACCCCTACAAATTGTCAGAATGAGTAGACAATGATCCTAGGCAAAATAAAAATCCTGAGTTCTTTTTCTGCCGTATTTCACTATCTATTCAGACAGGCTATCATTGAAATGGCAGGACCAGATACAGATTTCTGTAGTGGACACATTAAAATAGATATTGTAAACAAAAACAGACACATATGAGATAGGAGTGAACCACATGAGTGGCCCAGAAAGGCTACAGATGTGAAAGGATCTACTTTCCACACAGATCACCACTCTGCCTTACACACTGCTCTCTACTATACTCCCCTCCTACACCTACAAAAGGCCACAGAAGTCATTCCTGCAGCTTTTTAATAAAGCAAGAATCAGGATGCAGCACAGAGCACAGAGACCATCGTAAGTTCATTTTTCCTTTTGGCTATTGCTTTGTGGTTTCACACAGATTCTGCACCACAGAAAGCACATGTATTGTATTGTGCATCCGTTCCAGGGCAATTTGTCGTGTGTAGTGTTTTAAGCAAGACACGGAGCAAGAGGAGCATCACATCGTGGAGGGGAAACAACCTCAGGGGTGGAGGATGCAGCCGTCTTGTAGGAGTGATTTTCTTGTCCTTGTGTCCACCTTATAACTTAAAGACTGGTTATAACTACTCCAGAACAAATCATAAACTGCTGAAACCACTAAGCTGGCACGCTGTTTGTCAGAGACCAAGTCATCATGGAGCTACAGCTCCACTGTGTGATCTCCTGGTGGATCTTGCAGCCAGCTTCAAGCATCTACAGAAATATCTGCTCTTACTGGAAATCCAGGGAGGACGCTCTTCATGGTCCTCCACTGTTCTTTATTCCTTAAATATATATCCAAAAGAAAAGGGCATGGCCTCCTCACATGAAAATTATTAAGTGTCTCTATTCTTTAACGGAGACGAGAAGAAAAGGAGCATCCCACAGACATTTCTTATAAATAAAGAGCAAAACAAAACAAGTCCCAATATCACCACATCTTATTCCAGCTGCAGACTTACACAATACGCAGAGKCACTGCAAGCCAGGAACCTCCTCCCCTTCTTAGGAGGAACATTCTCCTCTGTCCCCTTCCGTGTGGGCTGCAGCTGGTCTTCCCTTCAAACAAAACTGTGATCTTGCACCACCTGACTCCTTTYGAAGGAAGATGAGAAGATAGATGGAATTAGAGGAAGTAACTGGTCACTTTGAAARGCACTAATCTTAGAAAGGTTGCACATTCCAGATGCTAAACACAAATACTAAAGATCATGGCTAAGCCTGCAAGATGAAAGGGGAAGGGAAGTACAACAGGAGGTTAGGGTCTGAGGAACACTACGCCAAACCTCTGTATTTGCAGAGAAATCTTCTGTTCATTTCACCATGGTCCCAGGAAAGGTTTGCYGTCGTTCTTCAAGCAATAAACTCCAGATAGGAAACACAGGGATAAAACCACGCAGGTTTCCAGCACACACTTCCCACATTACATTCATATCTGGACCACTGCCCTGTCCATTAACATCTCAATTTCCCTTGGTGCTACAGAAGAAATAATGAACCAAAAGGCAAAAATACTTGCTTCCACATCTTGCATTTTCCTGTTCCTTAGAGACATGAGGGTAAGCAAACATTAATCTTTTTTTCTGTATTTTTAGAACATCACTATAAGAGAAAAGACCTGGGAGTGGAAAAAAAAAAAAAAAAGTAAAGAAAGAAATCAGCAGAAAAAAAGAGCTGAAGCTTAGGTACTGTCAGGATGAAGGTGAGGCAGGGAAGAGACATTTAAGAGCAACCTCACCCTCGTGTTCTCCACAAAGGTGCYGAGCAAGAAGCAGTAGATACCTTTGAGCATCTTCCACAGAAATGCTTAAACTAGCCAAATTCGGTTGATCAACTYGGATGGCAAACTCTGTCAGCCCATCTCCTGGTGTTTTTGGTGGGAAGGCTGGAACCAACATCCTATCAGAGCTCAATTTAAAGACGTAACTGGACATCTGCTACAGAGGATCCACAGCCTCCATTAACTACCCAAGGACTGTAAACAGTATATTCTGCTAAATGTGTAGTTAAAATGAATGACTAAAATTATAGATACTATCAAACCCTCTAATGAATTTATGCAGTGCATTAGTGACAAAACAGGATGCAAGAAATACAAATTATTTGCCTTCATTCCAGTCTCCTCTGTCAACACATTTGAGAAGGTCTCCAAGTATAGTTTCCAAATCAGCAGAGAGAATACGAAAGGTTTCCATGCCGCAGTTCCAGTCCACAAAAGCTGGAAAGATGGATCCTGAGACCAAGCCACAGGACAGGGAATCACTAGGAAGGCTGTGGTCTCTGTCACAGAAGATCTGCAGCAATGGATTAGGCATGCACTTGTCAGGAATAAGAAAGAAAYAGCTCATCCTGCCTTAGATAGCAGACAGGCCTGGATGACCATTTGATAACAGTCATCCTTAAGCCTCTTGCTGCAAAGCGTGAGCATGTAAATGCTGTACTTTTCAAAGTACAAATTCAAAACACTAAAGAATCCCTTTAAAACAAAAATCAGGTCTCTTGTGCAGCATTCGTCATCAGTAGATCTCCAAGTGCCTTACACAAACATCAGCAAGAGTATATCCACCCGGAAAAAAAAAAAAAAAGGCAACATGATTTGCACAGCTTCACACAAATTTAATAATTTTCATGTGAGAAGAACCCCAAGCATCAACAGGAACCTGCCTTTCCAAAGCCTTTTAAGTCAGAAAGTGTGTCAATACTGGCCCAAAGACCCACCTGTTTGGGCTGAGGAGAAGTTCAGCCTCCAAGCTCAACCAACATGGAATCAAGACAAATGAAAGAGAGGGATTTTATGATATCAATATTCTCGCACTGGGGAGGAAGGTTGGAGGAAGGAGGACTGAAGCCTTGCCAGCTGATTCCTCCTCACACAAACAATGCACTTGCACTGAGTCCGGATTGCAGACAAAGACTCASAGTTTAAAAAATAAACTCCTTCCCAACCTGCTGAGGCACTCGGCCCTGGTCCCTACACCACTATTTATTACTGTGCTTTCTTTTAATAGCTTTCCCCATCCCTCATTAAAATGGGGCTTTCCAAATGTGCTTTTTTTTTTTTTTCCCAAGTGCTTCTCCATTGTGAGTTGTTTGTAAATTTACTGATACAGACACATTTTTTTCTAAACAGCTCATGAATAAAACACGAAGATTATAAGTTTAGAAGTCCTTGATGTATTTTCAAGCATCAGGAACTCAATCACTTCTGTAGAATCATCCCTCTGATGTTTCAATTGGGCATTTTCCTCCTCCTCCTCAAAAAAAAAAAGGTACCTGAAAAGCACCTGCCCTTTTGAAAGATGACTTTCTTAAAGACATACAATTTATTTTGGTTTTCTTCTTGATAATAACTTAAAAGCGAAAGGCCAGCCAAAGGATCAGTAAAGGAATGGTGAATGTTAAGAAATTAGCAATTAAGCTAACTAACCATACCTCTGAAGAAAGGCTGACTTTGGGGTAAAAACTGCTTCAAACCACAACGACCTTTTGTCTTACCTCTTTTCCATTAGATATCAACATCAGTCCRACTACTTTAACAACAACCTGGAATGATGCAAGGTAAAAACTCATCCTTTATTATTCCAGGACACAGCAGCAGTCATTCCAGGGAGGAAGGGTTTTACCTCGGAATTATTATTCACCCCTGTGAATTATTGCAGAAAGATGCGGGTGACAGAGCACTGGAACAGGCTGCCAAGAGAGGTTGTGGAGTCTCCTTTGGAGATSTTCAAAACCGGCTTGGAGGTCCCTCTGTGCCCCATGCTCTGGGTGTCCCTGCGTGAGCAGAAGGGTYGGACTAGATGATCTCTAGAGGTCCCTTCCAACCTTAACAATTCTATGATTCTGTGATTCTATGAATATCATCTGTTATTCTCTTGCAGTTTTTATAAATTGTGGTCCTTTGCAATGGTGACACAACTACTGTATATTGCAAGTGAGCCAGAATTAGCATTTAGTAGTTAGTAGCAAGCTGGCTAGAGCACTTCCAACTCCACCCAAGCTACAAAACAAGGCTAAAACCAAATTATTCATCTCTCTTGGACTCTGGGGCTTCAGCCTGACAGCCACTGGAAGCCAAATGAGTTTGCTCTGTGCCTGCAGTACCAATCCTTTTAGCCACGGGTGGGTTCAGAAAATCTGGGGACTTTCAAGGGACAGCAAGAGAAAAATCAAATCTCAGAGGCCACAGATCTATAGGATGCTGTGACTCTCCAAAACAAAGTGGTTGGATGCTTGTATCATCCAGAAGGAACATCTACCACAAATCCGAAGTATGGCTCTGCTTTCACACTTCCATTTGGTAGCAAGATACATTACCTGCTCTTTGACCACAGCTGCAAGAACTTAGGACATTTCCCTCTAATGACCTTCTCAAGGAGGCATTTGTAAAGCTAGAGCCCTTTAACTCCATATGAACGCAATCAGTGATCCATGCATCTTATGGAAGGTCAACTTATCTACACATCAATCCCATTCCACACAGGGTGCTCAAGTGAAAAAGAAAGTCCAGAAGATGACCACAACACTCTGCAGATGCTATAGGGTCTGATCTGCTTAAGGTATGCCAAAGGTGGCCACACCACCACCACCTCTGTGGAGGTGGATCTGCACCTTCTGTTTCACGAAGATAGAGGTGTTCAGATCTTACACCACTTTACCCCTTGGCCAGGCAAATAGAAATATGAAATTAAGCCTTCAAGTCCAGTAAAAAATCAGGTTGAGTTAAAATCAGAATATTAGAAAATATAACTTTTAGCTGCACTGGTAAGAGACCGTTTTATTGTGGCTTAAAAGGTATTTGTGCCATTTGTAACAGGCTCTAGGTATGAAAATCATGGGGGAGATCATCAGCTCTGYAGTTAACTAATATGTTTGAATAAACAGTTCGATTAGAAATGAGGATCATGGATTCTTGACCTGTTTTTGCTCTCCTAGTGAATATGGGTGCCAAATTGCACTGTGCAAATGGCAGATAATTTATGCTCCTGCATGTGACTGTAAAGGGCTTAGAAAGTACTTTTCTTGGGAGATGCTTAACAGCTCTCATTTTTTGTACTTTTTATCAGTAGTTAAAAGTGAATGAAGATTACTTTAAGTACTTGATATTAGGGAAAAAAATAAAAGTAAAGACTGCCAAAAGATTATTTCAATACATTTTAACCACTGAAATAGTCCAGATATGTTGGTAATGAGCATTTTAAAACAATTTTCCTAAGTCTATGGATCAGTTTAAAGGAATATATATGTAGAAAAAAAATCTTGAGGCATAAAGGCATTTAAAATAGTTATAACAGCTTCTACAAATTACAGTTATTTTACATCCACTTAGCTGAAAATAGTATTCAAAACATTGTCAGTCGAATCCCAAAAAGCCCTGGGCTCCTGTTGCTGTGGCAACATRTTGCTCACGGTTTGCCCGCCTGAGGAAAAAAATAAAAAACTTTAAAATATTGAAGGTTTTCAATATGTTTAAGTCCAGCATTAAGATTCCTCCACCAAGTCCCAGCTGAAAGCTAGGAGATTATTTCATTTCCACCTAGAGAAGCCTGCTCACTGAAAACCATAGGCTTACTTAACATACTCATTTTAAAGCAGAAGACTTCCCTGATGTTAACAGAATGGATTGCTTAAAGCTCCGTGGAGCAGCACAACTAACAAAAAGCAAGGAGTGGCTTTTGCCTTCTCCAAGGCACACACCATGGTGTATAAGCCAGAAAGAGGCATTGCTTTCAGGACCTGGGGGCATTCTGCTTGTGCAAGACAAATTGTGAACTTCCTCCCCATTTCAGCTACACGGAATCATCCCACTGACTTCTTTGTGCTCTCAAGCAAGCRAGAACTGGAGAGCAACCTTCTCTCCCGGGCAGAGAGTACACTGGCATCTGCTACACCCTCTGAGGTGGCTCCTTTCCTTTCTCTCAAGAGAGAAAGCTGCCAAGTAACAAAGCAGCAAGACTTGTCATCTGTAAAGGAGCAAAGTCTTCTCTGTCCTGCACAAGCAGCCAGCATAAAAGATGTCAGAGATGGGGAAGAAGCAGAGCAGTGCTCAAAACTCCATCATATGT